TCCTCCATTGAGACGATTCCGGCGAAAAAGCTCTCGGTTCAGTGGGTGACTCCATAGGAACCTGTTCGGGAGAGGGCTCAGCAGTCGTTCCTACCGCATCCCGTCCTCGCTTGGCCTTCTTGGTACTCCTTTCTAGCAAGTCTTGATCTTCCGGCGACCGATCGGTCGCCGCCGGAGAAGAGACAGTTGAGAGAGAATCTATTACCATATCCTAGAGAATTTGTGCATCACTCAAGATAATAATAATATTATTATTATTATGAAGAAGAGGCTAATAATAATAATAATAATAATAATAATAATAATAATAATAATAATAATAATAATAATAATAATAATAATAATAATAATAATAATAATAGTAATAATAAAAAACTGTAAAAGAAGCTAAAAAGCTGAAGCTAATTATTATTATTATTATATATTAATATAATTAGGCGCACAACAAGGCCATTAGGTGAAACGGCTGAAGAGAAAAGAAAATTAAACCAAGGCGCACGCTTAGCAGGTTTCGAACTGGAAACCTTTCATAAAGGTATTGTTCACGCGTATTTTCCTCCATTCTTCCATTTGGAGAAGTCTAATTCTCCTTTCTCCAAAATTGTATAGAAAGTGGAAGAATGGAGATAGAGATTAAAATTGGAGACATAAATTTAGTAAACAAGTTTTCCAATTTTCCTTTTTCCACTTCTCCAATTTTCTATTTTTCCAGAAAATCCTCCATTTTTCCAAGTTAGTAAACGACCCCTGAGCTTTTGTCCCACATTGGTTTGGAAAGTGGATTTGCCCCCCCTTATATACAAGAGCTCTTTTGAAGCTTGTAGAATTGTATAGCATAGAGGCTCTCTCGCGCGGGGGGGGGGGGGGGGGGGGGTGGTGTAAATCAAATTCCAACTAGCAGAGATTGAAATTGTGAGGGCATAACTAATATAAGATAAGTATGCTCATACGCTCATCAGGATACAATCAGAATGTTAAGTGGACGATTAATCTGCATTCTTGATGAATATGAGCATAATCTTGTGTTTATGCTTGCTTTAGAGCTTGTATGTTAGGCGTATACTTGAGTTGATGTGCCATATCTTCATTTCCGAGCTATATTTGTTGTTGGTTTGATTTTGGTTGAGTTTTGTTGAGTTTGGAGTTGATTATTGCATTCTGGAAATGTTCCCGAAACCCTACTAGTTTCTACTAGTTTCTACAGGTTTTTGGTCACACGGGGGTAATCGACGGGCCCCGGCACACTCGCCGGACCACCCGCGTGAAGGCCGGAGGGGTGAGTGGCAGGGGCTGAAGGACCCGCCACCACACCCATGTTGTTCCCACGGGGGAACATATCGGGCCCTTTTACCCCCGCTGGTTGTATGTTGTTTGGCTTCTGGGATTGTTTTCTTGTATCCCGTGCACTTGTGAGTATTTGTTGATGTTACGTAAGTCTAGAGCGGTGTATTATGAGCCTATTGATTAGGATTTGAGTTTTGATTCGTTGTAAAGATCCAATCTTTATATTCGTTAGATTATTGTTGAATTCTATGTTGAGAATCATTTGTATATCCTTCGTATGAATCCTTGTGATTATTCTATTGACTCGTATGCTAGTATTGTTGCTCCTTTGATGCTAATATGAGATCTTTTGGTATCATTTGCTTGATTCTTGATTGAGTTGTTGACTTGAACCTATCTATTCGTTGTAACACTTCGTTGGAATCCTTTGATATCGAGCTATTGCCTTTGGAATATCTTTCTTGTATCTTTCTTGAAATCCATTGACTTTGAGCTATCATTGTAAGCTTATACCGTTATTATACCTTATCTTTGAATCCCTTGATATTGAGCTTTGATTGAGATTATTCGTTGTGAATATCCTTCTTGTGGAATCTATCTCTTTGCTTTGCTTCTTGAGATTCCCTTTGTTGCATTGTGTTGAATCCTTATTGAGATTGTTATGCTGGGACATTGGACAGTGTGGGGACTTATTGATTTGAGATTGGCGGGTCTCTAGCTCTGTTTGCAATGGGTCATGTTGGTGTAGGAAGCCCTTGACAGGTCAGTGGTGTGGAAAGCCCCGATCAACCATTGTGAACTAATCCGGTAGTGTGGAATAAGCTCTGGGTTGCCGTTTGGATTTGTGATTTGCGGGCAACCTAGTAAACATTTATCTTGGGTTGTAAGATCTAGTTCTACTTACTGGGGCTTGGAGATCCCAATAAGGGTGTATACACTTAAGGAATTAGAACTGCCTCCATTTGATTAGAGTCATTGACTCCGCGTGATATTGAGATTGTGTCCATGAGTGGACTTGAGCCGTCTGGGAGCCCTCCACACTTATCCACTAGTATTTGAGTCACTGAGGTTGGCTTTGCGATATTTGGATTGTTGATTGTCCCTGTGTGGACTTGAAACTTAGAATTGATATTGATATTGATTGTGTGACTATAATGAAAACTGGACTATGCTTGAATAATGTGATTGATCTATCCTTCTTATTGTTTTTCACTCTATACTGTTATCTCTTTGAATCAGTATCATTGTTAATACCCTTGTTGTATATTGTTGAGTATATATCACGTGTTGGCCTTGATTTGATTCCATTTCTATCATTTATTGAATTAGAGTTGATTAGAGAAATATATATGTATTCCCAAATCTCAAAACCTATATTGGAGTATGAAAAGTATATTTATGTATCTTTACACATTGGAGTAGGATTACTTAGCATCTATTGCTAATTCTTTTAAAATATTTTCAGGTCGCTAACTAGAAGAGATAGTATAGTCCTATCCTTTATGTTGAGTAGGTCGTTTGATGAATTATGTAGTTGGTTATGTATAAAAGTCGTGTAATAACCTTATTGAGTTATGAATTTAGTATTAGCCTGTACATTTGGGTTTAGAATAACCTAAGTGTTTTCCCTTATTATTGTGTATAACCTAAGTTCTGTATTTAGAATTGCCCGTGTATACAAAGTTAGATATTTCCCTTATTTGAGTGCTATAGTGGGCAATTGCCCTAGTTTTTGTTGGAGGAGCATTATGGCCTCACATAGCCTAATTTGTCGTCGAATTAGACGCAGAATTGGAAGTGGTGCAACTACAATGGTATGGGGTGTTCCGTGGTTACTGGGTGATTCTGAACCTATGATTCAAACCGAAAGGCCTAGCTATTTGGAGAATTTTAAGGTTTCTGGTCTGATTGATCCTGTGTCTTTATCTTGGGATAAGTCATTACTTGATGAGTTGTTTTTGGCATATGATATTCAGCGTATTCTTCATATTCCTGTGAGCCCATGATTGGTGGTATTGGCATGGGGACCAAAGGGAGTACACGGTGAAAAGTGGTTACCGTCATCATTGGGGATTTTGCCCATCCGCCTACAAGTTTTATGTCGTGCAATAGGATATGGAGATTGAAAGTTCCTCCTAAATGGAATTTTTTTTTTGTGACGGGCTGTGAATAATGTGCTTCCCACTACATCTAACTTATATAGTATGTGGGAAGAGGTTTCTCTTACATGTCTAATGTGTGGTACTCATAATGAAACTATCATGCATTCACTTGTTAATTGCGATTATGCTCAGCGTGTTTGGCATGCATCTGGTTTGTTGGTGCAGCTTGTGGATGGGATTGATTTTGGTGGCTGGCTGGCAGAAATGTTTCATACAATGGAGGAAACTCATGTGTGCCGCATGGTGGCTGTTATGCATGCACTTTGGCTACAGCGTAACTCGGCAGTATGGGAGTCCAAATTGGTTCATCCCCTACCTCGTCTCCGGGTGCGCATTTGGAAGGATCATGGTTCGGCGGTGGTCTGCGCCTTTGACGCAAGCTTCAATGCGGCTAACGGGGAAGCCTCCCACGGCGCTGTTTTGCTCTCGGCAGCGGGAGGTTTTCTGGCAGCTCCCAATGGGATCTTGTCGACTAGTACGGGACCGTTTATGGCGGAGGCGTTTGCTTTTAAGGAGGCACTTTCATGGTTACGGGGCGGAATGTCAAGGATGTGGTGCTTTATTCGGACGGTTTGAATCTTTGTCATTATCTTTACTCGCATTTGGCTAGTATCCGCTCGTATGATAGTTTAGTTCTTTCAGATTGTAGGCGTTTGATGTGTTCTTTTGATTCTTGCTCTATTTCTTTTATTCCCCGAGCTTTAAACCGGGTTGCACATTGTTGCGCTTACACAGGCACATTCGATATATTGGGAGTCAGTACCTCCTGAATTTGTTACTTCTTTGCTCAATTAATATTGGCATATAGCAGCTTTTACTTTCAAAAAAATAAAATAAAATTGTATAGAGCAATAATTTAATGACGGAGTCTACAATTTAAAGATAATGAATGGACTAAAACCTCATCTTCTCTAGAAAAAATTATCAATAATAATTGTGAGTATGAAATCTAATGGTGTTGAAACAATAAGAGTTAATTCCACCAATGGTCCTCTAACTATATTGATTTTTCAAAATTAGTCATTGCCTTTTAATTTGGACACTTTAGGTCCTTTGATTTTCAATTTCTTTCCAATTGAAGTCCTTTCATCAGAATACGGTTAATTGAATTTTAAATGAAGGGGTAAACTCATCATTTCACCTGCCTATGTATTATTCTTAGTATTTCTCCATTGTATACGTGATATATCTTAGTCGAAATCCTAAAATGTTCCTCGTCGTTCCCCATTTGCTGACTACTCGTGTGTGCGTTCCTTTATTATTGAGATGTTTACAAAGTATAATAGCGAAATACGAAGGGAGAAATACGAAGAATTATACATAGGCAGGTGAAAGGACGAGTTTACCCCTTCATTTAAAGTCTAATGAACTGTATTCTAACGAAAGGACCTCAACCCCTTCATTTAAAGTCTAATGAACCATATTCTAACGAAAGGACCTCAATTGGAAAGAAATTAAAAGTCAAAGGACCTAAAGTGTCCAAATTAAAAGTCGATGACTAATTTTGGAAAATCACTGTAGTCGGAGGACCATTGCTGGAATTAACTCAAACAATAGTAAGGTTGTAATTTGGAATGTTGGTTTACCAATTGGCAGGAAATTCATGCAAGTTTGAGTCTACTGGTATCTCCATGTTATCCAAACCCCAAGCTCTACTCCGGTTCTACAGGTCTTTTTCCTCAAACCAGAAATGGAATTCAAATCAACAGCCGAATTTAGTGATCACTCACCCAACTCTCCTCCTCATCGAGTCCTGCAATTCCATGTCCCAGCTCAAGCAAATCCAGGCCAACATGACAAGGACCGGCCTCATCTTTCACACCTTCCCCGTCAGCAGACTCCTATCCTTTTGCGCTTTGGATGATAGCGGAGATATACATTATGCGCGGTTGCTTTTTTCGCAAATTTCAGAACCCAATGTGTACATTTGGAATACCATGATCAGGGGTTACGTTAAGGCTGAGCTTCAAGAAATGGGGTTGTGTGTTTTCGGTAGAATGGTTAGGGAGAATATAGAAATGGATGAAAGAAGCTATGTTTTTGCGCTGAAAGGGTGTGGGGTTTTAGGAGGGTTTTGGGTGGGGGAATCCGTGCATTGTAGGATTAGGAAAGTCCGGTTTGACGAAGATTTGATCGTGAGAAATGGGTTGGTTCATTTTTATGGGCAGAGTGGGAGGGTGAAGGACGCGAAGAAGGTGTTCGATGAAAGTCCTGTGAGGGATGTAGTTTCCTGGACTTCGTTGATTGATGGGTACGTGAGAAAGAATATGGCTGATGAGGCATTGGCGTTATTTCGTATGATGTCTTCCAGTGGGGTTGAGCCCAATGAGGTTACAATGATAGCAGTGTTCTCTGCTTGTGCACACAAGGGGGACTTGATGTTGGGGAAGTTCTTTCATGAATCTATGGAGAAGAGAGGCGCGAAATGTGGCTTGAATTTGCTGAATGCTATATTGGACATGTATATAAAGTGTGGCAGTTTGCCTTTGGCCAAAGAGCTCTTTGAGAAGATGGAAGTAAAGGATGCTTTTTCGAGGACAACCATGATCAATGGGTATGCCAAAAATGGGGAAGTGGACCTAGCAAGGAAGTGCTTCAGTGACATGCCACACAGAAATGTGGTTTCTTGGAATGCAATGATTGCATGCTACTCACAGAACAATAGACCAAAGGAGGCCTTGGAACTTTTCCATGAAATGGAAAGAAGAGGTCTGGCTCTCATGGAGACCACTTTGGTGTGTGTGCTTTCTGCGTGTGCTCAATCAGGTTCCTTGGATATAGGCAGACGGGTTCATGATTATTATGTTAAGCAAAGGCGGATCAAATGCAGTGTAATTCTAGTGAATGCATTAATCGACATGTATGCAAAATGCGGAAGCATTGATGCTGCTGAGGAGCTCTTCGCTGAAATGCCCGAAAGAGATTTGGTGTCCTGGAACTCATTAATCGTGGGGTGTGCTTCTCATGGGTTTGCTGGGAGGGCACTTACCCTTTTTGAACAAATGAGAACTTTGGGATTTATTCCCGATGAGATCACATTTGTGGGTGTACTATCAGCTTGTGCACATGCTGGATTGGTGAATGAAGGCTGGAAGTATTTGAGGGCGATGGAAATGTTTGGATTAGTGCCAGCAAAGGTGCATTATGCCTGCATGATTGATTTGCTGAGTCGAGTTGGGCAACTTAGAGATGCTTATGAGCTGATATTATCAATGCCCATGGAACCGGATACAGCGGTTTGGGGTGCCCTGCTTAATGGTTGCAGAATGCATGGAAATGTTGAGCTAGGTAAACTTGCTGGTGAGAAACTTATAGCATTGGACCCTGAAGATAGTGGTATTTATGTGCTTCTTGCAAGTTTATGTGCTAATAAGCGAAAATGGGGTGATGTTAGTAAGTTGAGAAGCATGATGAGAATTAAAGGTATCAAGAAGAATCCAGGGCGTAGCTTGATAGATGTAGAGAGAAAGTTACACGAATTTGTGGCTGCAGATGAATCACACCCTCGATCCCAAGCTATATATAAAGTGCTTAATGAGATAGTCTTGCTGTCGAAATTGGAAGAATATCAATTAACTTCTGCAAACCCTGCAAATTTATTTTCTTAAAGAGAACCTATTTCTACATCCTGCAATCTACAACTAGTTATTTTCTTCTGTGCTGTGGTGGGTGACCTGTAATTGACTTTTTGAACCTGCAAACTTGGAGATTGAATCTGCAAGTTTCACAAAGTCATGTACTTGAGATGCTGAGAGCTGACTGCATATGTTAAAGAGTGTTGCAACTAAAGGATTGATTGTCTTTAGTGTAATCACTTTGCAGAATCATTCTTGCCGGAGGGTGAATTCCTTGATATGGGTCTAGGAGAATTTACAGCCATTAACTCGGAAATAGTTGCCCCGTATAGCTACCTCAAGTGGTAGACCACCTGACCTGAATTCAGCACTCCAGTGACAGGGTGGGGGTTCGACTCCCACAACATCTTGGAGCTTAGGCTTTCTAGATTGGAGATTGGGCTCCCAAGTTGGCAGAAGCGTGGAGATGAATCCCTAGTGCGCAAAGTTCACGACACAAGTGACTGGGAGGGTGGGAGTTCGACTCCCACAACATCTTGAAGCTAGAGCTCCCTAGATTGGAGATTGGACACCCCAAGTTGACAGAAGTATGGAGATGAATCCCTAGTGTGTAGATGGACCCCGAGTCGTCAACGACATAGAGTGCCTAGGAGGCTATTCAGTCTAGCGTAAGCTGAAAACCTAATGGATCGAAAAAACTTGGAAATAGTTTTCTGTTATATCATCATGACAATAATGTTTTCCCATTTTACTCTAATGAAAGAGAAGTACAGAAGTTTGCAGTCTTACCAGTAGAGAATATATTTCAGGAACCATTACATTCTGATCAAGTTAAACAAGGAAACAAGGATAACAAGCCACTGCACATTGCTATCTATGCCTAGTGATCTTCACCAGTCAACATAGTTAGATATGTCAATTTACATCCTCAGCTATTCTCTAAGAGTCTTTAATCAGCAGTAATATCCACAAAAGCTACTGTCTTTAGTATATGCGTATCGGGATTTAAATCCAGGCACAACCCTCCCTATACCAAAAGCTATTCTAGTTTAAACCCATCTCTAGAACATGATGTGATTCCTATGTTAGTTCCATGGTTTTGTCAATTGTCATGCCCTACTAACAGCAGCTAGTAATTTACCAAAAACGTCCTTCACCGGGACACAAGCAACAGATGGCAGCATAGCTTCTCCTTTGAACGCTTTTCTTGACCCGTTTGAAATCTGATGCTTTTTCAATGATTTTACAGGAACTTCTGCAGAACTTTCACAGGCTCGAGTAATCTTCTTGTCCTCACAGGTTGAAGGCAAAAGAGGCGAATAACTGACGGGAGTCCTCTTAGAAGTTTTCCAAACTAGTGGACGTGTTCGACTCAAATGGCGGTGGAGCAATTCCTCACCGAGATTGTTCTTTAGAACTCGAGCTTCTCCCATGCCTTCCAGCACTTCTATGTTAACGGGGTGCCCTACAATTGCCTTCCCGTTTAATCTGCTCATCATACTCACAAGGGGAACATGCACTTCTCTGTAGCTAGCTAGAACTTCAATCTCCACATCCATCAATGTTTCCTTAGCATCTCTGGAAAACGCAATTTGGCGGGGTGCAGGGACAGCTCCTTTGTAGTAGTCTAGGACGCAACTCCTATCATCATCTCGAGCCACAGGCCTCCTGCAAACCTGTTGAATACTCAGTTTCCTTTTCATTTCGCGTTTTTTCAGCTTAGCAGAACCTGCAGCCTTGTCATCAACAGAGGACTCAGAGGAGTATCTGATCACACCTCGCCTCTTTCTGTACATGTTCTTATGTCGCTTCACGTATATATCTGAGCATTTTAGTCAGGTAATAGCATCAAAATCACCAAAGAGATTTATACACTAGTTGGTTTAGCATTAGCAGCATCAAAATCAGAACACGAAATCCAGCAAATTTGATCATCTTATGCAAAGCTTTCATGTAGAGCACAGAAGAAGAAAGAAACCCACCAGACTATGCAAATAAGTGAAGGAGAAACATTAACCTGATGGCGCTTTCGAGCTTCTCATTTCTACTTCATTCTCACTCTCAGAAGATTCTGATTTCACTGGTTCAGAGGTTCCTTTAGCAGATGCATGGAAAGGGTTCGGTGATCCCTTCGACGAGTGAGACTTAATTGATTGCTCCATACAATCTCTCGATTCAATAGAGAAATAGACGCGCTTGCTTCTTTTAGCCCTGGAACAAGATTCTTGCTGCATATCACTCCCTGAGTCAAAACTAACCCACCATTAGCAATAGATAAACAATGATTAAGAAAAACAATGATATGATAGTTGATAGTACCTGGCCTTTTAAGTTTGTTTTGCAGGGCCTGCCTCTCGAGCTCAAGAGCACGAAGAATGGCATCTTCACGACGGGCATACTTGAGGTTCTTGGTTGAAGCCTTTGTAGATTCAGCCTTTCTAATACATTCATCAAATTCTCCACACCTAAAGGCTTTTATGAACTTAGAGCTCTCCAGATTGTACCAATCCCTGAAAGGTTGTTGGTTCACAAACACATATATATATAGGTAGTGCAAAAAAATACAAGAAAGAATGGACATCAGATGGTAAAAGCTAGCAAAACCCAGAACTCTATATAACTTCTGGACAAGAAATTATGTGATTCCAACATTACTGATCCTATAATATATGTTTTGACTCCTATACCACCTTAATCTTTCATTGTATTGTCCTCCCATCCATCTGAGATAGATTATGAAACTGCAATCTAAAGATAAGAGTAGAAAAAGTAAACGCCACTAATTGTACATAAGAATCCAACAAAGTTTAACATAAGATTCTGACATATCAAATCAACAAAATAACATCAAAACCAATTCCAAGAAAACATTAAAGCCTAAATTTACAGGTAATAAACCCCCTCCCCATTTTCTTATTTTCTTTATTTAACAAGTTTAAGGGCTCCAAAATCTATATATGCTTTACCCTGCAGGTGAGTAAATGAAGGAAAAGAAAGAAAGTGGCTTACACGGAGGAGTTATCTCGGCCAAGAAGCTTGACTTTAGCTCTGGAAGCAGTAAAAGGAAAGTGGTGATGAGAGAGTGAACCCATGACTGTTCCTGGCCACCATATCCCATTTTTTCTGCGAACCCACACTAAGCTTCCCACTCTCACTTCTCTTCCTTCTTCTTCTTCTTCTTCCCCGACTGCTGCTGCTGCGCCCATTTTGATCTCTTGGTGTTTCAGATACAGGAAGCTAAGCGGCCAAAGATTTCATGGTTTTCGGAGAGGGTTTATGGGTTTGTTTGTTTGGAGGGAGAGAGTACAACAGTTAACAATGGATGGAGATGGCCTGGGGTGGTGGAAAGGTGTCCCAATGCCGCTCTGCTACCTGTTCTTTGACTGTACGAAAATGAGCCGTTTGTCTTTTGTATCTTTTGTCGTTTTCTAAGTGTTTTTTTTTTTCTTTCTTTTTTATTTTCTTCATCACCAAGATTTGAAAAATCAAAGAACCAAATTCGGGCCAATCCGAGTCAATATGACAATAGATGCATACTTATAACTACCAATAGTTATTGTGTGGATCACGGTCTAAAAACGATATTGTTTCACGTAATTTTTTTCACACAACTTGTTGCAGTATACATTTTTAAAACTCATAATGTATATTATTTTAACACATAATGCATATTATTTTACCCCATAAATTTCATTATTCTAACTCATAATGTACATTATTCTAACACATAATGTATATTATTCTAACATATAATGTATATTATTATCTTAGCTAGGAGTTTCATTATTTTAGCACATAATGTACATTATTCTAATTCATAAATACGTCCTTTTGGACTGTGGTCCACACAATAATTTGCTTGTAACTACAAGGTAAGGAGTTCGAATTCTTGCCCCCTTAGTTTAAGTCAAATTAGCTATGGGTAACTTAAGTTGGTATACTTACTTGTGATCTTTTGTCGGCTAGAGTCACAAGAGCAGGGTTTACCTACACCCGAAAGAGTTGTGGGGTTTCCCTCCTAGTCATCATTAAAAAAATAAATAAATAAAATCTCCTTAAATTTTATCCTTATTATTTTTTCACTACAAAAATGTAATAAGTAATAGTGAATTAATCTTATTATTATACTTATTGCATAAATTAATTAAAGAGCATTACAACACGAGAGTTGTAGAAAAAATTATTTGTATTAAAAAAGTTTCATAAAAGTAAGAATAAATTGATATGTACAAATATTTTTAATTGATGTTCATAAAAATTGATAATGAAGAGTAAAATTGTAATACTTCAATTTATTCTAGTATGTAACTTTTTTAGCAATTAATATTTTTAAATTTTGTATTAAAATGCATGTGACTTAGATTAATCAAATAAAAGAAATTAACATTAGTTATAATAGACTATATAATTAACTAGAAACAATTGTAATATTGTTGTGATAATATTTTAGGGAAGCAAGTACAATTTTGAGAGGACAAATGTACAATGTAATTAATAACCATAAAATACTAATATTGAATCCTAAAATAGTGCCAAGAGATACTATTTATACAATAATGTCCCAAAATAAATACATCAAGTCACTAGGACAAGAACCATGCTAGAGGGGAGAAAGAAATCAAGGTTCAAACATCGGCGTCGACAGTGTGAGAACTATGCTTAAAGTGGACAGATTCATTGTCTGCACTGGTATTTGGCCGTGTCTGCTGAAGCCATTGAGTCACTGTGATTACATCCTCTCAAATGCTCTGTCAGGCCGGGATATGGGGAGACATTGTGATTGGGGATTCAACATTTTGAGAGAAGAAAAACCATGCTAGAGACCCATACAATTATCATTTATCACACTCTAATAGTCACTCCCTAACATGTCATTTTTTATTAGATGTGTAAATTGATTGGATTTCTTATTAACTCATGATATGGTCAATCAATTTACCAATAATTCATGAAAATAAATAATTTTCTTTTTCTTTTAAAAAAACTAGTAATAGGACAAGAAGCATGCTAGAGGGGAGAAAGAAACCAAGGTCTAAACATTGGTGGCGGCAGTGTGAGAACTATGTTTAAAGTGGACAGATTCCTTGTGTGCATCGGGATTTGACCTTGTCGGCCCTGTCTGCTGAGTTACTATGGTTGACATCTTCTCTAATGCTCTGTCAGGTCGGGATATGAGGACTCTTAAGATTGAAGATTCAACTTTTTGGAAAAAGAACAACCATGCTAGAGACCCATACAATAGATATGTAAGGGCGTAGATATGTAAGGACTCCGTAACTCATATGACATGACCTTTTGACATTCTTGATGACATCCTTCTCTATTGACTTTCAAGGCAATAATACATCATTATTCTTGATTTGTTTTTTTTTTTTAATTCTTAATCTCAAAACATGACATTCTCGATGACATCCTTCTCTATTGACTTTCAAGGCAATAATACATCATTATTCTTGATTTTTTTTTTTAAATTCTTAATCTCAAAACTAAAACTAAATCCTGGAATAGCTATAGCCTAGGAACCCTAGTTTCGCCCTTGGTTTTAAAGTTAAAGGTGTAAAAATGAAACAATTAAGAGTCAAGACCAAATTATAATCAAAGGAGCAAGTGAAATAAACTCCTATAGTATATAAGTTTGAACCCCAAATTCAAGGGTTCTCATGTCTCTAAATCTGGAGATTTGTGAGAGGAGATAAATCACAAGACGTGTCTTGATGGTGAGAGAAACCTAATTTGGGGCACAATAACAACCGATATGAGCTAGCGACAGTAAAGAGGAGACCTCGGCAAAAGGCAAAGTCCAGCAATTGAGAGTGTTGTGGATTCTATAAAAATGCTTATATGCGTACATAACAGTGTGAGTGTCTCATGTATGTATATATTGTAAAGACTGCATTAGGTAGATCATTTGGGCATCGAACTAGTATAAGTTTTCAAATGAGCGAAAGCCCCGACAAGCCTAGTGAAGGAGGAACGACGACAACTTTGCAAGATTTCTTAGGTTTCCAGACGACCATGACTAGGCCTTTGTTGTTTTTTTTTCCTAATAGTAAGGAGAGACGCAAGTGGGTCTCCTTACCATAATGACCCCTCTCTTAACCGGAGCCAGCCAAAGAGAAACACAAGTGGCAGTTTCACATTAACAAACCATAAATATAATATTTTCAGAATTTTCAAGAAACTCGTTTGAAACTCTTGCATTTCTAACAAGAAACACATGTCCCAAATGAACTTTTCCCAATATTATGCATTTTTAAAAAGCTTCTTATTTTCATCATTGCCTATCGAAAGTTACCCATTTTTGTCATTGACCCTATGAAATTCGACCCTAGGTGGCTAGGTATTCACGGGAAATTACCCTAAACTCAGTCTTTCATCCACCGAGCTAGGCCCCAGAGGCAACTCCAATAGTATATGACATTATAGGAAGTGCATCAAAGAGTATTTTAAATTGAAAGGATAGCAGGTGAAGAGCAGAGCAGCAGAATATTGATTAATTCATCATATTATGTAAGGAAAAGGGAGAGAATTGCAGTGAATATTATATTGTCTATCCTAATTCCTACACCAATCAAACAGAACAAAGAGCAAGGGTTGTTAACCTTTAAATATGGAAGGTGAGGCTTGGCAACTAGGTTGGGGCATAAATGTACAGAGAAGTCCAAAAGAATTGTCAAAAGAGGAAAAAGAATTAGGCATTATGTAACTTTACATTAAAGAACCAGTTGAGCACCCTAGTTGCAGAAACAAAACCTTTTGTAGAACAACTATCACCTAGAACCAGTTTCGGATGGCTGACTATTCAACGCCGAACTTGAGGGAATCGAAGGTACAGATCCGTTATCTTGGGAGGTCGAACTGCCCCACTTTGGCTCCGCGTCTGATGGCTCAATCACATTTACCGAACCATCGTTCATGCCCAGCGCGAATTGGTTTGCATCAGAAGGGTGTGCAGCAATCACTACGGGAAAGGCAGAACCACTGCTGCTGCAAAATTAAGCTCAATTTCGTTAACTCTCTTAGTTTCTTAGCTGATGGATGGATGAACTACAGATTCACAAACAGTACCAGCATATAATGTATAAACATAAATATGCAGTTGATGGAAGCATGTGCAATGTTTATATATTATATGCTCAACACGCCCCCTCACGTATGCGAGCCGGTTACTTCTGACGGGCTCTCCAAGCAACACATGGACTATAGTCTCTTTTACCTTTGACATGAGGTTGACTCTGATACCAAACTGAAACATGTGCTCTATCTCAACTAAAAGCCTAAACTGATAGTTGGACAGCACATTTATGTTTATAAGGTCAAGTTCCCGTGTGAACAGTGCTTCCGTGCGGCCACACACCATTAGGTACGCATAAATGCACTACAAAGTGTTCGAGAATGCACCATTAGGTGTGGTGCATTTTTTTTGGTGGGGTGTGTTTTGCAGTGCATTTCAATGTGGTCCATTTCCGAACACTATGTGGTGCATTTATGCATACCTAACGGTGCAATCCACACCGGCTGCACGGGAAGCCCTGACCTCATTTGAACCAGTATCTATGTTTATATATTATATATACGCTCAACAAGTACAAGGTGTGCAGATTGAAGAGTTATTTTGGAATTCAACTTGTCCTCAAGACTGGAGAACTTTCATCTAAGTTTTAATGATTATTGCCCCTAGGATTTAACGATACAATCCTTCCAATTTTGAACCAGAAATTCGTTGAAGCAAAGTATCGTACCTGCCAATAGACGAAGAAATATAAGCAGATGCTGCAATTCGACACCGAAGCCTGAAACTGTCTGCATCAAATATTCCAATTGCTCCATCGGAGAAACCAGCAAACACCAACATACCATCACACGAATATATTGCACTTGATATAGGAGCAGAAAGTGAGTCCCTTGGATACCACTGCAATATAAAGTAAGATACTCGCATGAACAAATTAACGGGAAGACTACATTTTCGGGAATCTGAACTCAGAAGTGGCTCACACAACTGCGACAAGCTTCATGCAGTAATATCATATATTCTTGCATCAGATTTAAGATAAAGGATAGGCCTTAAAATTGCATAGTGCTCAAATCGGCAACAAATGACAAGATTGATAAATTCAATAGTGCAGAAGGCGGGGTTAACGCCAGCCAAGATGGTTAAGGATACAAACTTGTAACCACAAGGTCATGAGTTCGAATCGTGGCCTTCTTGGTTTGAGCCGGTCAGCTATATGCCGGCTAGGGTCACAAGGTGGGGTTTACCCAGTGCATACCCTCGGGTAGTGGTTGCGGGTTTCCCTCGTCACCCCAAAAAAACCATGCAGAAGGCAAACCACAACGGTAATATTTATTGTTTTGACAAAAAAAAAAAAAAAAAAAAAGAGATTGATAAATTCTCTAGCATAGCATAGCTCGACTTGGTATCAATGAAGGTCATATAACCACATACACTAGTGTACACAACGAGAATCATGACATGTAAACTTACTGAACGCAGACATTCGAGTTGGGTATCATAAATCGCAATTTGGCTTTCATGAACTACAAGAATGTGAGATTGATCATTATGGAATTGAACTCTAGCTTCTCCAACAAGGGGAGTAGGGTGTCCAGGAGGTGCCTGTACGAGCCTCGCCTTTTTCTTTTCCCATCCATCAATGTTCCAGATACATAGCTGCATCAAAGAGAAAATCAGTAACTGATAATAGTACCTATTAATATTATAAGGATAATTGTGACAAGATAGAGAAGCATCATTTCTACCTAAGAGATATAATTTAAGTACAAAAGTTAAGCAGGGACTTAAAACAAAAATAACTAAACATAATACATCTGCTGCATTTTTTATTATTACCCACCTGTGCATCAGCCCCCGAAGACACCAGCACATTCAAGCTCTGAGAAAATGCAAGCCCTGTGATCCGTTTCTGGTGACCCTTGAGCTTAGTTTTAACCTATGGCAGTGGCAAGAGAAAATAAAATGCAATGAATAAAAAATGATACGAAGTACTTTAGAAAGATAAGTTCAATGGCGACATAAACTGATCATACACATTGTTGTTAAGGCGGACTTTCAAAGGCGAGGTGCCACCGACCGCCTAGGCGATGAGGATATATATATATATTATAAAAGGCCACTGTTCAAGGGAGTCCACCCCTTCCCATAAGTCCGTGTGGATAGATCTGGTCCATTAAAAGCTAGAGATCAATGGTCAGATCTTACCATTATCAACTGTGCAATTGCAGTTGCACAGTTGATAATGGACCATATATGACCATTGATCTCTAGCTTTTAATAGACCAGATCTGACCACATGGACTCATGGGAAGGGGTGGACTCATTTGATCATGAATCTATTACAAAATATCATATATCAATTCATAATTTAGCATATAAACATATTCTCAAATCTTAACAATAAGTACAAAATTATGCAATAATTTAGCATTTCCAGCATGGGTCTTTAGATTTAGCCTTCCTTTACCTATCATAAAACAAATTAAACAACCACTAAGGCGAGGCTGGGAGGGGAGAAGTCAGCGTCTCAAGCTCTCAACTACGTATTAGTAGGGGGGGTTTTTAAGGCAAGGAGAGCTCGTTAAGCGACCGTCTCCACCAACCGGACGCCTAGGCGATGCCTTAACAACAATGGTCATACATCCGTTAAAGGTAGAAAATTATTCAACCCAAGTAGAGAAATTAAAAGCCATTGTTGCAAAGGGTTAACAAGAGTAAGAAAATGATGCATTGCAAATTTCTTATTCTAACTTCAAACCTTAAAAAACAACTTAAATTCATCAAGTTGAATCTGCAGACACATGTATCTATCTTTATCATAATCACCAGCTTCGAAACTAAGAACAAAACTCGAACGAACGAAGAAATGAATTAAGAACAGCACAATTCAATTTTAACCTGATTCAGAACTTGGTTTTGAATTATATTAATGCACTTCTCAGTTCAATAGAGAAAAAAACTGAACCGATGTATCTAAATGAGGAATGTATCCTTGAAAAAGGCATGGGATGTTTACCTCATCAACCCTGACATTGTATATTTGTATGGTTGAGTCTTCCATTCCAACAGCAATAATGTTATTGTCCTGCGGGTGAAATGCCAAATAGGTGGCAGCTGGAGGTGGAGGCATGAAAGTTGTCATAACCTGACACAAGATTATGAGTTTGATTTAGTTAAAAGAAACATCAAAAAAGCTTTAGAGTACAACAGAAACAAGCTAGCACTAAAATGCCAGAAGAAAAAAAAATGTAGGCCCTGTTTGGTAAACTAGTTAGCCTATCAGCCAATTTTGGCTTATTTGACCAGTATTAGCTGTTTGACTTGGTTAAACAATCAATATGAATGTTTGATTAATTTGCTTTTTGTAACAACTTCTTGCTCCAAAATGCTAAAATTCAAAAAGCTGCTCAAAGTAGGCTTTTTCGGTTAGCTTTTTGAGAAAGTCATTTGTATGTAATCAGCTAACAGCTAATTTACCAAACACTTTTCTACCATCAACTAGTCAAAACCACTAACCAATCAACTAACAGTCATTTACCAAACACCCCCGTAGAGTCCTCTATCTCTGTCTTACCCTCTCTTCAACAGCTTCCAAATAGGGGTTGCCCAAATAAAAGAAAGGGAGGGAGGAGAGGGGGAGGGGGTAGGGGAGGGGGGGGGGGGGGGGGGAGGGGGGAATACCTTAAACGTCATCATGTTAAACAGGGAAACTTTCCCACCAGAAGCAGACATGACATAAGAATCATTCTTAGATAAAGCAATGCATGCAGCAGGCTCTTCAGCTGATTTTGCATCACTTGAGTCATTAGACATGAGAGCCCCACTGCTAGGCTGCCATAATTGTGGCACAATGGAAGCAGAAGACTGAAAGAAAAGATAGCAAAATATCAAGTAAAATAATTAGAGGAATGAATATGAAATTGAAGTGTGCTGATAAACACAGGCAAAGTTAAACCTTTCCAGATGGGTTACGCTCATTTCGTTGCCACTTCCAAAGCTTGTGAACAGCATTGGACCCCAGTGCCAGCAATGCAAGCCCAGAATTTGTAAAGAGAAGCCGCACAACCTACATTTTTCAAACTTTCTCTTAGTTCAGGTATCAGGTGAATAAAGAAAAAAGGCAATCCAAGAATGGTGAGTGATTAAGTAACAACATAGACTACCGCAAGAATGAAGTCATTGGAAAAAAATGGGATCTGATAGTCGGTAAGTAAATCAGTTTCCAACATACCTTGCTTGCTGTCAAAGGATCAGGCAACCTTAGGGATTTAAGTTGAGATGGCTCGGTTATGTCAGGGAACTTCCAGCTTTTAACTTTGTCAGCATTGTCTGCAGTCCTAGGTTTTACATCAGGGGGGATCCTATTGCTTTCCATCGTGGCCTATTAATATTACTAAATTACTAAAGATCCAAATAATAGTAATGAAATTTTACAATCAAAGAAGCCTTGATAATTTACTCCCCATAAGCAACTAGATGAATTAAACTGAAATAGACAAATCAACTGACCAGGTTGCCAATGGACATCGATTGCTGCATTCTGTCACCACGGTCCAGCATTGGGGTCATTGAGCTAGGTACATTGGGAATAGGACCTAACGATCCAGCAATTTGAGGCTGCAGAGCAAATTTTACAAGGTAACTCAAATTAAACTTTTGAGCTGCTAAGTGAAACTAACTATATAAATAATAATAATAATAATAAATAAAAATAAATAAAAAAGGGAAAAATTGTAATTTATCCCACTCCATAGAATACCCAATTATCAATGTCACCCCTAAATTATTAGTGGTGTAAATGTTGCCCCTCAATTTTCAAAATGGTACATATAGTGCCCTCCTGTAGTGTAAATGTTGCCCCTCAATTTTCAAAAAGGTACATATATTGCCCCTCCCGTACGGTACGAGAGGGGCAATATATGTACTGTTTTGAAAATTGAGGGGCAACATTTACACCACTAATAATTCAGGGTGACATTGATAATTGGCATATTATGGAGGGGCATAAATTACAATTTTCCCAAAAAAAAAAAAAAAAAAAAAAATGACCAAGATGCCAACATACAGAAATAATTTATTAAAAGCAACATTGATATTACTTTAATATTGACAGCTTCAGAAAGACCACGAGAACCTTCAAGTGGCCTACTCTCTAACATCCTTAGCATGCGTTGCCCATCATTATTTGCCAAGATCTTGATTCCATTGTCACTAGTTGTAACAGCCAGCAACGACCCTTCCTTATTGAACCTTAGTCGAGGACTAGCCTGCAAAAGAATAGAAATACAAAGACTTCAGTGATAAATATTTTGTGCCCGTACCACAAGATGAGTGTCATACACAAAGGATACTCACTGGCAATCCACCATCAGCATCAGTAAATGTAAGCATGTTTATGTTATCCATATCCCAAAACTTTATCTGAAACTCATCTCCTGCAGCTAAGAAATGGTTCCTTGTTGTGTCAAATTGCACAACTCCTAAAGATCGCTTCCTAAATCCAGAATATGTCCTCTTGATAGCTCCTTCACTCTCATTCCACTCAACAAGGTATGATTCACCTTCTTTGCTAGTTCCACAGGAGAAAAGTCTGAAGGGAAAATGGGATTGATGCAGAAAAACGCTACCAATTAGGAAAAATCCTATAAATGCATGCCCATTATCACGGCATTTTGCTGATAAAAAAATATGAAATTTTCATGATATATAGAACAGCATAGAAAGATAACTGGGATAAGATACATATCATCAATAAGCATGTTACTCAACCCTAAGACTTCTTCTGAATCTAATAACCCAGGAAAAGTATCAATTAACCTAAATCTAACAATCTTTGCAAGTAATGGCCTTAGAAAATGAAGTATAAATTGCCATATCCGCCTTGCAAAATAAATATTCTAAAGAAAGATCAATAACCTCAATTGCCATATCTGCCTTGCAGAAGTAGATATAAAGTGGTTATATCTTGAATGTAAAGTTTTGAATTGTCTAATAGTTTGCTTGATTTCCAAAAGTTTTTAATATATCCAGGAGAAGTGGGCCTATACTCTTTTTCCATAGCAGATTCCACGAGTATAGGCCCACTATAGCAGATTTCAACTTAAATCATGTTCTTTAGAAATTGAAGCATGTAAGGTGATTCCATCAAAACTAATATTTCAGTAGTTCAACATTTTAACTTTACTGTGCAAATATATATTTCATTTAACACTAGAACCACCCAAATCGACTAAATAAGAGTCGTGTTGCAAATACAACACACAAAAGGTGAAGAATGCTTCACCCTTCCTAAGCATATTTTACTATTCCATATACCTCAGTATCATGCATTTGTGAGAGTACTATTAGATACCTGATCACACAGTCACTAAGTACAATAACCTTACAGTCCACACATCTTCCAAACCAATACTTACATGCTTGATTAGTCTCAACTTTAGCCTAAGTGTTGCTAGCATATGTCGACCTTTGATTATGAATTACTAAAGATAGTCTAACGGGGGAAGTTTTACAATCAAATTCTTTATCATGAAATCTAGGAATAAAAAAGGTATTCATGGTTCTGCTTAGGTTTAATATTTATTGAGTCAGCAAAGAGATGATGTACAACCTTCTAGTAGATGGAAAGAAGTTTTCTGTTTAGAAATAAAGGTAGCAAAAAAGCTACGCAAATTAATGCAAGAGAGAATATTGTAGTAAACGATATACAAGTGATAAACAAGATAAATCAACCATTTCTTAATCAACAAAAATCTAACAGTGCTGACTTTTGAGCATACCTAGTCCCATCGGCACTATAAGCCATTGTTGTACACCAAAGTCCAGGAGCATCATAATCTACTCGTGACCCCATGCAGTCATAAAGCCATGCTTTTATTTTACCATCAATTGCAGTGGAGAAGATGAACTGCAAAAGTAAATAAACAAACAAAATAGAATGAATATTTTTGCTTCTTTATCAAATATAGAAATTGTTTAAGAAATTTGAAGCTTATAAAAGAACTATAGTCAATTTAAGGCCATGAAGTTCATATACTAGCAGCAAAGTAATCTAGCTTCAGGGAAATTGCCTGAATGTTCTCTTTATAGTGAGGGCAGACAGAATAGACTGGTGCTTCATGTCCTTCAAACATGTATAGTCTACGACCAGCTACAGCATCCCAAACCTAATAGAGAAGAAATTAAAATTATTAAAAAAAAAAAAAAAAAAAAACAAAGAAGGATCTAGAAAATTCGAGGGCTAGTATGTCAATAAAGTAATAAACATAAACAGTTTAAGAATGTCCCCACCTTAATCAACCTGTCATCACCACACGTGACTATGCAGAGTTGCTTGTTCGGATAAGCAAAGGCAATATCATTAACACCACCAATATGAGCATCAATCTGCAAAGTTCAAAGAGTCAAAATATGGTTTACTGATAATAAATATAATAAAACCCAAGAAAGGTGACACTATGAAAGCAAGGGTGCATATGAGGAGGGGAGGAGAAGTTCTTAGGCTTACTTCTAAATGTTGTCTCAACTCTCCTGATGGACTGTAAGTATATATTTGAATTATGTGCTTGGAGAAAGCAACGCCTAGAAAAGAAAACAGAACAGCATACAAATTTCAGAACATTTTAATTTGCTATCATGAATTATTATTATTGTATAAAAGAGATAAAAATTTGAAAAATAAACCATACCAAGTATAGCCCCATCTGGGCCCCATACACATCGATTGACAGATACAGTTGCATCTTTCACCAAAGCTGTCTGGATTATAAGCAATCAAGATTTTATATTAGGTGGAAATACCTAAAGATAGGTTTGAGGTCTCATACATATAGAATTGGAATACACCTTAAACTACATTCAACTCATTTCAGCCCAATGATACCCATTCACTGTCAATTCACAAGTATATTTACACCTTAATTCCACTCTCAGAGCTGTCACTCGTGCTTTCCCATGAATATACAAATGAGTATCCTTTTTTCTTAATTTGTCATATACAAGCAAAATTCTAACTACTTTTCAAATTTCTTCTTATTTTAGAGAAGGCAACAAATACCTACCTGTAATGGCATTGAACAGGCTGAGACATCCCAAACCTTGAAGGTCTTATGTGCTAACCTTTCCCGAGAACCAACTTCCCAAACACTTATGTCACCAACATTTGTTCCAACTACAAAATCAACGGACAATTAATAAATGTATATTTAATTAAAAACAGTGTTTTGTGTGTGTACTTTTGGAGAGTAATAGCATGCATATACTGTATGCAGTGCCGTTCATTTCAAGAGGTGCTATTCACTCAATTTAAAGTTGATTCAGAAGTATTGCTTACAAAAGCATTTAAGTTCATAAATGTATTAGCTAATATTAATGTAGTCTCATAGATCAACCTAAAAGGATCATCTGCTGTTGGGGATGGAAGTCCATGCTCATAACATTGGATCCTTGGCTAAGATTCCGCACAACAGTTTTGGGAAGGTCATCTGGAGGGTAGATATTTGGTGGATGAGTTGACCCGGAAAATGAAACCTAGAGAAAAATATTACGTATGTTAATTGGGAATACAAGCAATAAGTCCAAAAACAATATAAATATCTTGTTCTTGTAACCATCATTTGTGCACACCTCATCCGATTGGCCAGCTCGAATTCTTTTGATCAGATGCTCTGAATCAGCCGTTTGATAGTCCATTCCAGGAACACCAGGGGGGGTCCTAGGATGTTTTAGGAATGCAGCTAAAGATAATATTGCAAGCAACAGGCTGTTAGAACACTGTATAGCTTATTCAAAAACATCATCAAGTTGCAACTAAATTTATATTAAGCATTTGGACAACTAACCGGCACCAGTGGGCTGCACAATTCCTGGAGGGCCTGGGGCAACTGCAGCATGAGGTATGGCAGGACTTGCACTTGTCATCCATCCAGCAATGGCACTTGGAGAAGGAGAAACAACTGGCTGGAAAGGCTGCAATGGAAAAGGTCAAAGCCTCAATTAAGTGAGTTACTATACGCAATATGATTGACAGTAACATGCAAACTAGGAGCAAATCAATTGTAAAACTATGGTGCTTTCTTACGCTATGGACTCCAAGAGGAGGAAAGGCTCCAGGTTTTGGAACAGGCCCAGCAAGAGGAGTATTACTAGGTGGAGGAGGTCGAGCTCCATTGGTAGAAGCGCAAGTATGATCAGTAAAAAGTGTTTTGATATCAGGGTTTGGACGTGGGTTCTTGCATAATTGATGTTGCCAGTTAAGACTGAAATTCAGAAGATATAAAACTTCATAACATATAGATAGCAACAAATATAGGAATGGAGATATTTAAGGAAAATCAAAGAAAAGAAACAAGAAAACCAGACTTTAAGAAGCTAGCATAGTAATTTAATTATGTGAGATAATCATTTGCAAAACCATTGCCTTTAACTTTGGAAGCAGGGGTAAGATATCATAAGAACATTACTTTGGAAACAGATACATTATTAGCAAATAAATGCACGCGAATGACTTATAATTAGCATGAAACCTCTGATTTATCAAAGTCCGCAATCGAGAAGCTTTAAATGATGGTAATGTGAGCTTGTCGCGGAACAAAGGATTTGCCTCTATAAGTTTTTTTAGTTCAACCAACATAATATTTCGTGCAGACTTTGTGTCCCCATATTTGGAAAGCTGCTCATTCTGCCTAGAGAAATATCCAATAAGAAGTCATTAGAAGTAGATTGAGTACTGAATTGTAGCTATAAGGTCAACTATGGTACCTAAAGTTATCAAGAGTCAGTAACTGGGTAATCTCCTTGAACAGGTCTTCATTAAACGAGGCAAAAACTTTGAGATCCTTTATAAGAATGTCAACAGCTTTTACTCGATCTTGTCTGAGAAAAAAAATAATAATTTAAAGAACAATCAGTTACTGATGATAGATACCTCAAACAACCAATTATAAATGCACAACAAAACTCACTTGTCCAGAGCTTCAAGATATTTCTGCTTTCTTATTTCAAAGAAAATCTTCATTGAATAGCGGTTGTCCTCAACCTTTGTAAACCCACTTAAGTAGCGTTCTACTTCATCCCATTCACCGGCTTGAACTTGCTCCTCAAAATATTTCATATTGAAGTAAAAACCAGATTCTTGCTCCAATCTAGACGTTCATAAATATAATATCAAAAAACTTTTATTTTGCTGTGCCAATGTTAATGTATAACTTGATATCATAAGTGAGCAGGAAAAAAGCAAAGAAGTACAAATTAGTCTTCGGTTTAATATATACACACTCAAAGTTAACAATAAAACTCAACCACTGCATCATATAATGTAAAATTAACACTGAATTAAACATATAAAATGCATCTACTTACTTATGAACTGTCTCTTTGAATTTTTCCTCATCCAAGAATTGTAGGATTAAGAAAACCAGTTCCCTACTCAAGGAAGACATGGTTACAGCTCCGGGAGTCCCTAGCCACTCCAGTGCAAAATATTTGGCTTCAACCTGAAAATACAGGGAAGAGATGCAATTTAAGCAAGCAATTTTAAGCCCTAAAATCACCTAAGTCAAGAAATTCAGTCATAAGTGTCACCAATCACCTACTAAATTTAGATCACTTGGTTAAAAGAACTGCACTTATTACAAGAAACACATAGTTAACATTATGGAATGCTCTGTAAATTCCACTTGGCGAATGCTTAAAGTTTTTACAAGCAGAAAAATTCTCTAGCATTTAGCTCCCCATCAAAATCATCTGATTTCTCTCTCTTTCAACTAAGCCCACACACTTGAAACAAAAGCCACCATCTTCTCCTTCATCAGGGTCAAAAGGGTCGTCTTCATACCCCACACTAACCCCGCCCTGCTTAGTTTCCCAAACCAACTCAAATCAATGCATTCAAATCCCGAGAAGATACCCACATTCGAAACCCCACAAGCAAAGTTCACAACTTTCTCGGAAAATGAGCTCCAAAGTTTCCCAAAAACATCAATTTCCAAAGCACAATAAAACATAAATATCGATATCGTATTAAAGAAAAGCTGGGTATAATGCAATATATTTCCTCATTTCGTTTCAAACCCACAACAATGAGAGCAAAACGGAGGTGTTTTCAGATCTGGGCATTCAAGATATTGAAACCAAAAGTGCACATTTCAAGAGTAAAGGCGGCCTTACAATGCAAAAGCTAGGGTTTATTTCTGTGAATGAAGAAAGGACTCAAAGGAGCCTCCTTTCACCCTTTTCTTTGCTGCAGACAACTACCCACTACTTGTGTCTTCCCCTTCTTTGTACTCGCACTTTTTCTCTCTCTATATATATAGATATGGCTTTGATTTTTGCTCTCTTTCTCTCTCTCTTGAACTGCTCACCGCTAGCTTTTATAGGATGGGTTTTGTTGGGCTTTTAACATTTTTCTCTGTCCTACTATTCCACTCTCAAATTCTCAGGAATCAGCATCGTAAAGAGATAAAGTCACATGACTGTGACTGAACTATCTAAAGCGTGTCGAAATCACATTTGCCATTACGCCCAGTTTATTATAATAGACACCACTTTATTTCCTAATCTACTCATCATGGACTATAATTACCGTTTGGTTGCAGTAGGGAATGAATGGAATTTAATTCTGTGAAAAATGTTTAAGATGGAAATAAAGTTCGTTTTTTTTTTTTAGCAAAGAAATAAAGTTTGTTTGGTGGGCACGAATTTTAATTAAGGGTCGATTTTAAAATTTAGAAAATGAATTTCGCAAGTTATTTTTTGGTTTTTTTTTTTAATTTGGATATTCACATAAAATAAAATTAAAGCAAAATATTTATTGTGATTAACGAAAATAATTCAATTTGACATAAAATGTCTTCCTAAATTTTTAGTTAGAAAACATTATTATTATTATATAACAAATAATATGTTTACTTTCAAGAAAATAAATCAAACATAAAAATATAATTTCTTAACTTTTAGTCAAACAAAAAAAAAATTATGATATTCTTACAAACATTATAAAATTAAATTATTTTCAGGAAAATGTGTCGTTTTCTTGAAATCATTTTTTGAAAACATTTCCAAGTTCCCAAATAGACATCTAATAGTATTGGGTATATTAGTACTAGTCTTTTCTATGCGCGATTTGCAAAAACATATGCCTAATACTTATATTTTTAAAAATAACTAACAAATCCTTACTAATTAAAATCTATACGAAATCAAATTTATTTATTATATTAATCCAACATATAATGTCTAGAAATATTATTATCATTAAAAATATAAGTCAATATATGGTAGATGCACGTGCATTGTAACGATAATGAAAAAGATAACGGAAGTTATAACGGTAAGGATATTTTTGTCAAAAAAATTATATAGTACAATTCTAAAAGCACAATGTACAAAATGATTAGTACTAAAAACATTGACATAAATTAGAGATATAATTTTGATTAAGACTTATTATGTTTTTAGATATATGAGGATTGAAAATAAATTAGTATAAATGCCTAAATGGCCCTATAATTGCATTTCTTAGGGAAGATGTAGGATTATTATTGTAATTAATATTTGATGCACCGTCAGCGTAAAGACACTATACACTAGCGGTGAACAAGAATATCCCACATCATTTAAAAAAAAAAAAAATTGATCGGGTCCTTTCTTGCAAAATATTTATTACTTCCTAAATTATTATGTGTTTTATTATGAAAGTCTTTATGTTTAATTAACAAAATCTATCTAATTTCTTAAACATATTTATCTCCCTCCGTTCCTAATTGATTGTCTTACTTGCTTTTTGTACGGTTTTTAATATAACATAACAAATGTTATTAACTTTCCAATTTTATCCCTCTAAAGTATGTTTTGTTTGACAAAGTACAATTGTACTTATCTCTAGAAATTTGAAAAGTCAAAAGGGTAAATTGAGAAATGTAGAGTGATAGTTATGTTCAATTTTAAAAATACGACACTATTTTGGGACAAACCAAAAAGGAAAGTAAGACGGGTAAAATGGACGGAGGGAGTACTTATTATCTATCTATGTTTCAAAGCATATTTATTACTCCACACAACAATATCCAATAATGTAAAAATATCAAATTTACAAACTACAAAACAAATTGTGATATTAAAAAATACATAAGATGATGAAACATAAAACGAGACACATTTCTTATTCTTAATTGTTCTCAACGAAATGAGTTCTCTTCATTTGTCTCAATTGGTAATTGTAATAAGACAAAAACTCAAAAATCAAGTTACAAACTTAACATTTTTCACTTTATATCCAACAGTATAGCCGTTTAGAGTTTACAAATTACAACAAATAAAAACAAAAAAATAAAAAACAAAACAAAACAAAAACAAAAACAACAAAAACAAAAACAAAAACAAAAACTTACTATAGAATTTCAATAATAATAAAAAATAACTTACCGAAGAGAATTTTTTACTAGTGAAAAATTGATGAATATT